GACGGAGTTTTTTGACTACCACTCACTACTTTGTGATCGTCAATACGGCTTCAGGAAAGGTTACTCTGCTGCTGATCTGTTTGTTAAACCTCTCCACTAAGTGGCACCAGTCACTGATGAATCCAAAGTCAGCTGTGTGGTAGCACTGGACATTGCTGGCGCTTTCGACCGGGTGTGGCACCAGGGCCTCTTAGCAAAACTTCAAGCACTGGGAATTGCAGGCTCTACGCTATGTCTCCTCAGTGATTACCTTCATGGTAGATCTCTAAGTGTAGTTCTCAATGGAACGTAATCAGCAAGACATCCTATTGGGGAAAGTGTTCCACAAGGAAGCGTGCTGGGTCCATTGTTATGGAATGTCTACTTCAACGACCTTCTTCATCTCATTCCAGAATCACATGCATATGCAGACGACTGTACACTGACATTCACTTATCCAACAGAAGAAATGCCAGCTGCTCTAAGCTACATCAATCACCAGCTGAGAGCTATATCAGCTTGGGGAAATAGATGGCAAGTAACATTTGCACCTGAGAAAACGCAAATGATGATCGTCTCTAGGCACCATGATGGTAATGCTGGTGCAGTAGTAAGGATGAATGGGAGGATGTTGGCACCTGGAGAAGAAGTTGATATCCTTGGGGTGAAATTTGACTCCAAACTAACCGTGAAGAACCATGTTGTAAATCTTGCAAACAAGGCAGCCAGGAAGCTTACAGCACTTCGCCGTATCTCCCATCTGCTTGACAGTAGGGGTTGCAAGATCCTGTACGAGGCACAAGTACGCTCGCACCTTGAGTATGCTCCACTTTCTTGGTTTGCCCCCCCCCCCCTCTCATCTGCGACTGCTTGACAGAGTAGAGAACAGAGCAAGACGTCTCATCTCTCGCCTGGACCCATCCTGGATAGATCTGTCATTTCAGCAGAGCCTTCAACATAGGAGGGATGTGGGTGGCCTTACTGTTATTACAAGGCCAATATTGTCAAAATACCACACTTGGATCCACTTCGAGGACAGCGTGAAACAAGCTTTTATGCCACAAGACGGGCAGAAAGCAGCAACTTCACTCTGGCTGTACCCTTCTCCAGAACATCACTCCATCTGAGATCATACATACCCAGGATGACTCGAGTATGGAACACATTCGTACAGCATAATGATTGTCAACGAGATAAAGTCAGTTGATCAAATGAAAATGCTGGCCCACAGATGGCTCCAACTTCATCCTGTTCCCTACTTGTATGTCTCATAACAATAAAAATGCTTTCAAATGAGCTGATGTAGGTAACAGCTCTTAGCTTGCCAATAAAGTTAGGAATCCTTAACCTGTAAATAGCTGTCAATAAAGCTAGGGATCCTTAACCTGTCAAACCCTGTGTAAAAAAAGAAAAAAAAAAAAAAAAAAAAAAAGAGAGAGAGACGCTCCCTTTACATGATAAGGCGAAGAATCACTGAGCTCCTCAAGAACGCTAGATTATCTGAAACACGAAAGGAAACGCTAACCAGGGAAGTGGAAAATACTGAGCGTAAACTAAAGGATTCATACAGGATCCAGGAGAGACAAGAGGAGCTAAAAACGATTAGTGAAATTGAAAGAAGTTCGAAGTATTTCTTTTCATATGCCAATAAAAAGGCAAAAACCACATCCAGTATCGGTCCGCTGCTCAAACAAGACGAAACTTACACAGCTGACAAGCAAAGAAATGAGTGAGATACTGAAATCTCAATGCGACTCTCTGATGAGCCACTAATGAGTCTAAAGATGGACAGCCCAAATTATTTTGTTCATGAATGAGCCTCAAAACCCCGTTAATGTATGCCAAAATATTTGACAACCCTAAATCCACTAGACAACATACCCATGCACTCGGACCCAGGCCAAGACTCGTGGAACTCTGTGTTCATTAAAAACTGCAACTCACGTGCCCTAAGTATGGAGAAGGAACATAGACGTGAAATTCCACAGTCATTAAAAACAACGGATGTAGCCACACTCCATAAAGGGAACAGCCAAGCAATAGCTAAGAACTATAGACTCTATAGCTCTAATGTCCCACATAATTTTTTTTGAAAGAGTACTAAGAAGCATGATTGAAAATCACTTGGATTCCCAATAGTTACATGATCCAGTGCAACATGGGTTCAGAGCAGGTCGCTCCTGCCTCTCGCAACTATTGAACCACTATGTGTAAGAGAAAATGTTCTTGTCCACCACTCAGATACAGGTTTTGCTTTTTCCATGTATCGCAATCCTATGCACAGTGAATGTGCAGTCACTAATTTTCTTTTCATGCTTCCTCTGTCAAGACAAGTGTTCTTGTTTCTCTTTTGCTCCGTGATTTCCGCTTTTGTGACCCTCAGTTCCTTGAATCGGAAATTTCCACTCTTCGTAATTCATTTCTCGTCATGGTTACCTTCATGAACTCTGCCTTCTCACGTGCTAAACGGACTTTCTTCTCTTCTAAACTCTCTACTCTAGGGAAATCTCCTGTTCTCTGTCTTCCCTATATTTCCAGTCTTTCTAATCTCAATAACTCTTTCCGTTCCTTAGATATTAAACTAACTTTTCGTCAGACTAACAAACTTCGCACTAATCTAATTCGTATATGTTCTCCCGCTATAAATGCAAAAGGAGAAACTGGCCGTTCTTTTTCTGACAGACTCAAGGCCCACAATAAAAAGTGTTATCCTATTGACTGGTTTTCTACTAAAATTATCTAATCCTATTTCTCATTTTCACAGTCGCAGTCTTGTTGAATCCTCTCTTATACACAGCTTTCCTTGAATGAGCCTTAGTCCTGGCTTTGTCTCTGTAGATGCCTTCCTTTCACATTACATTATTAAATGCTGCAAACTTGAGAACACACGTGACGTAACCTGATTCTTCCTATCTCCTCCTCTTTCTACCTCTTCTTCTTTCCTAATTTGCCATATTCTTGTTTTGGGTGTCCTTTCTTCTGCCTTGGTTTTTTATCCTTTACTTACCCCCCCCCCCCCAGTGTTTTCGGACTTACCCCTTGTGGGTTGTTAGCTCTCCTGTAGTGCTCTTCTTTCATGGCATTTAACTGACTCCACTATTATTTCCTTTCCTTATACCTTTGGCTCCTACCTTCACTTTTGCCTCCTTTTACTCTCACTCTTTCTATTTTTTGTCCCATCAACCACTCTCCCTAGTTTACACTACCACTACTACTACTTCTACTACTACTTCCACTTCTCCCTTGTCTTTTGTCCCTTCCCTGCCAGCTTGCCTATATATACTGGCTCCTTTTCTCCTTTCTCTTAGTGTGACTTTGTAAATGGTCCAAGTCGTTCCGAAACGTCGTCGTAAGCTCCTCTCTCCTATGTGCGGGTTATTAGTGTATTGTTCCAGTCACGGTATTGTGCCTTTTTGTTCTTTCTGTTATGTTTACTGAAGAAGGAAGTTTATTGCTACCAAACATCAGTTTAGTGATATTAATCGGAACTTTTCTCCATCCAAGAGGAGGGCAAATTTAACTTAAAAGTCGAATCTAATGACTGGGACGTTTTGTAATTCTAGTTGAATTTCAGGAGGAGAGACAGAGTTAAAATGGCAGATTTACACATACAACAAGATATTACTGCCATAAATGTACGCCTCGACACTCTAAAAAAGAAACAACTCTATACAATGCAAGAACTATACATGCCAGATAGAGAACATCCTATACAAGTGGTAAATACCACGGATTATATCATCAATACTCCTCCTCACAGGACTCAAAGAATGACTCTCCCACAGAGGGTCCGTCGTTTTATACATAAAGATGATTACCATCGACCCATGATATTGAGCAACCTCCCTGATGAAGAAGATTGGGTAACACCAGAACCCTTCTATGTATACTGAGAACATCATCGCCCTCAATTAGGGAGACATCTTATATAACAATCTAATGTAAAAATTATGCTATTTACCATGGCTGGACACCACCTGTAAGAAGCCATTGTCACGTAATTCTATAAACTGGCCAGAAAATTATTGCCTTCATTGTCGCATAAATATCCGTTGTGCAATCGCAAAAAAAAAAAAAAAAGCAATTGCAACTTGTATAATTACTACCAATTCAGAGTCATGTACTTATATATCTGTTATATCTATGTGACTCTGATGGGTTAGTCTTATACCCCTTAAGGCTTAAAGAATATCTTATCATTTCACGTACACTTTTTAAATTACACCAAAGTGGTTGGGCCACTTACCTTTTATATCCTACCTCTCTCCCCCCTCCAACCCTTTTCCAAAATTTCTATCCTTACCCATCCTTCTTCCTTACCCATCTCACCAAAGCTCTGGTCTGGACAAGAACAAGAACAAGTTGAATTTCTAATACACAGTCTGTGAAGTCTCTCTGGACGACTGTATACGGAATGACAATATATCCTTTGAATAAATTGAGTAATATCCTGTGAATTGTCACTAGACTCTAGCCACTCTTGTAGAGGTGCATCAGATTATTGGCTTCGCTTACATCATTGACTCTTATAATGAGTGTCGCAAAGAATGGAAGTAGATGTCTTCGTTGACATAGGTGAAGAGTTCTTCTAACAGTACACTGTCGTTCAGGTGTGCATCGGAGTTCGCCGGTTGAACCAAAACAAAAATCGTGGTCATTGGTGCATTTTCAAGACTTCCATTACGATTTTATGTGCAATTGGAAAGTGTGTTGTCTGCATCGTTCTTTGTCTGTCACTGTCGTATGGCAGATGGCTTCCAGCTGGTGTCCTGTTGTCAGATGTTCTGTTCCTTCGTTTGAGCAGGGCTGATAATGAACCCTTTTCTCTCAGTCTAGGAGCTGGATTTCACAGCGGAAGAGTTTTCTCACCTATGAGGCCAAAATGGAGTGCGGGACGAATACGGAAATTTAGATTCGGTGGGACGAGGGAGACAAGAAGTCCAATTCTTCGGATCTAGAAGCTATTCAAAGCAAGAAATTACAGTGAAGGAATGTTATTAATAAATCAGACAAAGACTTACTTTGCGAAGGCTCTCTTGGCAGCTACCACTGCTGCATCGACCTCCAGCTTGCCTGAGTCTGGTACTTTTGCCCACACGGCACCGGTGCCAGGCTCTATGGAGTCCAGCAGGCGCCGGCATGGCAACATCGTTCCGGCAATAAAGTTATCCACAACCACCAGCACATCCATTGTTCCACCTGTCAGGGCGGTGAAGGAAGTGAGGTTAGGAACAAGGAGATGAACACGTATGAGAAACAGCGTATACAAGAATGTTTAGGGATGAGTGTGTGTGGTGATGAGTGTGTGTGTGTGTGTGTGTGTGTGTGTGTGCGTGTGTGTGTACTCACCTAATTGTGGTTGCAGGGGTCGAGACTCAGCTCCTGGCCCCGCCTCTTCACTGATCGCTACTGGATCCTCTCTCTCTCTGCTTCCTGAGCTTTGTCATACCTCTTCTTAAAACTATGTATGGTTCCTGCCTCCACTACTTCACTTGCTAGGCTATTCCACTTGCTGACAACTCTATGACTGAAGAAATACTTCCTAACGTCCCTGTGACTCGTCTGAGTCTTCAGCTTCCAGTTGTGACCCCTTGTCCCTGTGTCCCCTCTCTGGAACATCCTATCTCTGTCCACCTTGTCTATTCCCCGCAGTATCTTGTATGTCGTTATCATGTCTCCCCTGGCCCTTCAGTCCTCCAGTTTTGTCAATCCGATTTCCCTCAACCTTTCCTCGTACAACATTCTCCTGAGCTCAGGGACTAGCCTTGTTGCAAACCTTTGTACTTTCTCTAACTTCTTGACGTGCTTGACCAGGTGTGGGTTCCAGACTGGTGCTGCATACTCCAGTATGGGCCTAACATACACAGTGTACAGTGTCTTGAACGATTCCTTATTATGGTATCGGAACGCTATTCTCAGGTTTGCCAGGCGCCCGAATGCTGCAGCAGTTATTTGATTGATGTGTGCCTCCGGTGACGTGCTCGGTGTTATGGTCACCCCAAGGTCTTTCTCCCTGAGTGAGGTCTGTAGTCTTTGTCCACCTAGCCTATACTCTGTCTGCGGTCTTCTTTGCCCCTCCCCAATCTTCATGACTTTGCATTTGGCAGGATTGAATTCGAGAAGCCAGTTTCTGGACCACATGTCCAGCTTGTCCAGGTCTCTTTGCAGTCCTGCCTCATCCTCATCCAATTTAATTCTTCTCATCAACTTCGCATCATCTGCGAATAGGGACACTTCAGAGTCAATTCCTTCCATCATGTCGTTCGCATATATCAAAAATAGCACTGGTCCTAGAACTGACCCCTGTGGGACCCCGTTCGTCACAGGCGCCCACTGTGATACCTATTCACTTACCATGACTCGTTGCTGCCTCCCTGACAGGTATTCCCTGATCCATTGCAGTGCCCTCCTGTTTTATGCGCCTGATCCTCTAGCTTCTGCACTAATCTCTTGTGGGGAACTGTGTCAAAGGCCTTCCTGCAGTCTAGGAAAACGAAATCAACCCACCCCTCTCTCTCGTGTCTTACTTCTGTTACCTTGTCATAAAACTCCAGGAGGTTTGTGACACAGGATATGCCTTCCATGAACCCATGCTGTTTTTCATTTATAATCTATTTCCGTTCCAGGCGTTCCACCACTTTCCTCCTGATAATCTTCTCCATGACTTTGCACACAATACATGTCAGAGACACAGGTCTGTAGTTTGGTGCTTCTCATTTCTGTTTCCTTTCTTAAATATGGGGACTACATTTGCTGTCTTCCATTTCTCAGGTAGTTGCCCAGTTTCAAGGGATGTGTTGAAGATTGTGGTTAGAGGCACGCACAGCATTTCTGCTCCTTCTCTAAGGACCAATGGGGAGATGTTGTCCGGTCCCATCGCCTTTGAGGTATCAAGGCCACTTAGCAACTTCTGCACCTCCTCCTCGGTTGTTCGTATGTCATCCAACACTTGTTGGTATATTCCCTCTTGATGTTCCCTTCTGTGCTGTCTTCCCACAGCCCCTCCTGTCTCTACTGTAAAAACTTCCTTAAATCTCCTGTTTAGCTCCTCACATACCTCCTGATCATTTCTTGTGAGTTCTCCACCTTCTGTCCTCAATCTGATCACCTGGTCTTTGACTGTTGTCTTCCTCCTGATGTGGCTATACAACAGTTTCGGGTCAGTCTTGATTTTCGATGCTATGTCATTTTCATACTGTCGCTGGGCCTCCCTCCTTACCTGTGCATACTCGTTCCTGGCTCTGCGACTGATCTCCCTATTTTCATGTGTTCTCTGCCTTCTGTGCTTTTTCCATTCTCTATTGCACTTTGTTTTTGCCTCCTTACACCGTCGGGTAAACCAGGGGCTCGTTCTGGTCTTCCCATTGTTTCTGTTGCCCTTGGGAATAAGCCTTTCCACTGCCTCCTTGCATTTTGTTGTTACGTATTCCATCATTTCGTTTACTGGCTTTCCTGCCAGTTCTCTGTCCCACGGAACCTCCTGCAGGAAGTTTCTCAATCCTATGTAATCACCTCTTTTATAGTCAGGCTTTTCCCATTCAACTCCTGTTACTCTCTCCACTTGCAACTCTACTATGTATTCAAAGCACAGAACCACGTGGTTGCTAGCTCCTAGGGGACTCTCATACGTGATGTCCTCAATGTCTGAACTGCCCAGGGTGAACACAAGGTCCAATCTTGCTGGTTCATCCTCCCCTCTCACTCTGGTAGTGTCCTTAACATGTTGGTGCATGAGGTTTTCCAGCACCACGTCCAACATCTTGGCTCTCCATGTTTCGGGACCCCCATGTGGCTCCAGGTTTTCCCAGTCAATCTCCCTGAGGTTGAAATCCCCCATAACCAGCAACTTTGCTCTGCTGGAGTGAGCTCTTCTTGCCACCTCAGCAAGTGTGTCCACCATTGCTCTGTTGCTCTCTTCATATTCCTCTCTTGGCCTCCTGCAGTTCTGTTTTGGATTATACATCACTGCAAAGACCACCTTGTGCTCCCCAGACTGAAGTGTACCTACTATGTAGTCTCTTTCTCCCATCTCGTCTATGCCTCCCATTTTCTCGAATTTCCATGTTTTTTACGAGCAGAGCAATCCCTCCTTCCCCTCTGCCCCTTCTATCTTTCCTCATGATCTGGTATCCTGATGGGAAGATTGCATCTGTTATTGTCTCCGTGAGTTTTGTTTCGGTAACTGCTATGATGTCTGGGGACTTCTCATTCATTCTTTCTTCCCATTCCTCATGTTTATTCGTTAATCCATCCGCATTTGAGTGTGTGTGTGTGTGTGTGTGTGTGTGTGTGTGTGTGTGTGTGTGTGTGTGTGTGTGTGTGTGTGTGTGTGTGTGTGTGTGTGTGTGTGTTATACTCACCTATTTGTAGTCACCTATTTGTGGTTGCAGGGGTCGATTCATAGCTCCTGACCCCGCCTCTTCACTGATTGCTACTAGGTCCTCCCTCTTCCTGCTCAATGAGCTTCATCATACCTCGTCTTAAAACTAAGAATGTTTCCCGCCTCCACTACGTCACTATCTAGGCTATTCCACTGCCTAACAACTCTATGATTGACGAAATACTTCCTAACATTCCTTTGACTCATCTGAGTCTTCAACTTCCTTGTTTCTGTGTCCAAACCTGTCTTTTTCCACCTTGTCTATTCATAAGAACATAAGAAAGAAGGAACACTGCAACAAGCCTATTGACCCATCCGAAGCAGGTCCATGCCACCCCCCGGCCTAGAACAATGACCACCTAGTCAGGTCACTTCCACTTAAGGAAGGAACACGGCACAAGACCTGGTAGCCCAAACTAGTCAGGTCCAACTCACACTCACCCACACCCACTCATGTATTTATCTAACCTATTTTTAAAACTGCACAACGTCTTAGTGTCTATGACGGTACTGGGGAGTTTGTTCCACTCATCCACAACTCTATTACCAAACCAGTGCTTTCCTATATCCTTCCTGAATCTGAACTTTTCCAACTTGAAACCTTGCTCGAGCCCTGTCTTGGGTGGATATTTTCAGCACGCTATTTACATCCCTTTTATTTATTTCTGTTTTCCATTTATACACCTCAATCATATCCCCCATAATTCTGCGAATTCTAGAGAGTGCAGATTCGGGCCCTCTCTTCCTCATGGGAAAATTTTGTACATGAGATCAATTTGTACCCCTCCTTTGTACGTTTTCCAGTGCATTTAACCCTTTTTGTAATATGGGCCCAGGATTTTGGCACAAATTTAAATGAGTCTAACCAAGAATATATAGAGTTAAAAGAACAACCTGAGTTTCTTTTTTAATTCTAATAAAGCCAAGAACTGTTAGTTTTATTGCGAACACTAATTTTTGGTTTTAGATTACTGCTAACCAAACCCCTTTAATCCTTTTTTGCAATCATAGTTTTAAGATTACTTATTTAGTTTAATGTGGCATGGTTTTGTCCTGCCAACTTTTAGAACTTTGCTTTTGTCAATATTAAATCATCTGCCCATTCTCCGACCATTGCATCAGTCTATTCAAATTATCCTGGAGTGCTCTAGTGTCCTCATTAAAAAAATTTGGAGGCCTTTTTTGGTGTCACACAAATTTGTTTATGTCGCTTTTTTTTCCCTCATCTATCACTGCCCCCCTAGGAACACCGCTTGTGACGTTTCCCCCCTTCGATTTCCCCCCATTTAAGTAAAATTTTTGCCCTATTGTCAACCAGCCCTTACCCCAAAAAAAAATTTCTCCTTTCCGTGTGCCTTAAATTTTTCCCCAAAAGTCCTGATGTGGAACTCTATCGAAAGCCTTACTGAAGTCCATATACACAATATCATATTATTACCAGATCTACCTCCTCAAACACCTTAGCGAAAAAAGTCAGTAAATTTGTAAGACAGGAAAGCCCCTTTTTAAAACCATGTTGAATTCATTAATCAATCTTGCCCGTCAAGATGGCTCGAATTGCTCCGGCAATTTTTGATTCCATAAATTTTCCCATATGGGGGTAAGGCTTATTGGTCTATAGTTCGAAACAAGACCTGTCACCTCCTTGTAAATAGGTATTACTTTCAAATTTTCCACTTTCAGGCACTATCCAGTTTGTAGTGAAGTTAAAAGATGCCAAAGGTTTTTCAAAGTTCCTCTTACATTCCCTTTAAAAACCCTCGCAAACAATTCACGGGGGCTGGGGATTTTTAAAGGGTTTTAATTTCTCTATTTGCTG